CCACAGAGCCTCTTGATTAAAATATCTGATCTCTTGGTTGTGACATTTCAGTGTATGTTGAGCTAAGGAAGGGTTGGGAAGCCTCTCTATGACTCTGCAAAAGGAAATGCCCTCTTGTTATTTGTTTCCAAGCGGGCAGTGAGTGAATGGCATTCAGGGGCTGACAGCACTTGCTACTCACAGAATATCTTGATGAATTGTCGGGAATTGCTAGAATTATTGGTCTAATATGTGTATTCCATGCTGGACTAGAAGTGAGTAAAGACAAAGATCATGTTTGTTTTTATTTACCTACATACACAGCAGCCCCCGTCACAAAAGAGTGAGCTGAGGGCTTGCCTGATTTGATGGCAGTCTGCAACTATTGACTTGCACTTGATGTAAACTGGATCTGCAGGCAAGTCTCCCTTGTACACAAACACTAAAGTTCTCAATTTAATTATGTGAACTTGCATATTTGCATTGAACTTTCTTGGTTTGTTTATTTTTATTGTAGTTACATTGTTCTTTTTAATAATTCTCCTAATAGCTAATAACAAAGTCTATGTTTGATTTTTCAGTAATTAGTATGCTTTGGGAGATTTACATTGAAGTCCTATTTCTAACATGTTCATGCTAATAAAAAAATCTTAGAAATAAAAGAAAACAGAGCTTTTATTGATGTTATTAATTTCTAGAGGGCAAAGTAAGATTTTTACCCTTGCTTTGTTTAAGTCAGTTTATAGCTTTTTGGTACAAAGAAATTCAAAGTTCTGTAGAAATAATAAAAACCATGATACTTGGCATTTAGCTCCAGAAAGAAAACAGCAGAGGGAGCATAAGAATCTAAAACTAGTTTTCTAAATCCCTATGGATGAAAAAACGTTATGTTTTGGTCTCTGGGCATGACTATTAGGCCAATTCCATCATCAATCCATGTTTCTTACGGCTGTCTATTCTGTAAGAGATTGATAAGGCAAAAGGCCATGACTCCAAACACGTATCTACCAAAGACTTATCTGAGTTTGGATCTGGACTAATAAAATCTTTTATAAATTGGGGTTTATATTAAGGTCTTTGTTCCTTACAAAAACTCCTTTCTCAAAACTGTGTTTGGCTCACTTTGAAACCCTGAGCCTGGAATGGGCCTACCATAGAAGAGCTCAACAGTGTCTCTGAATCACCATGGACTATCAATGTCCTCCTCACTGTACCTTTAAATGAATGAGCTGCACTGCAGCCAGATTAGTGCTGGCCAGATCTTACTCTCCACAAATGACAACCACAAGTTAAATACCTCATTGCTCCATCTGCCTTCATGTTAGTTACTGACCTTTTACGTTCTGTCTGCCTTGAAGACATTTCAAGATAAAAATGAAATGAAAATGCTTTCAACTCCTTGAGAAAGATAAGACTCGATGCCAAGGAAGCATTTTATATTCAAACAGGCCTGCAAAACATGAGTCCCCTGAGCCACATCTGGCTGACAAGACAGTGGTTAGAAGCTTTACTTACCCATTTTGACCTGGAGATGACACCAAACTCAGAGGATTACTATCAGCCCACTACATGGTTAATGACCGACTCCTAATGAGTCCAGATTATCATGTCTAACTCCCCTTCTGCCTAAATCAAATCTGGGAAACCAAGCCTGCTGACCAGTTTTCTTTCTCCTCCTCCTCTTTTTTTTTCTTTTTTTTTTTTTTTTTGTGGTGCTGGGAATGAAACCCAGAGCCCTACTGCTAGGCAAATCCTTCACCGCTGAGCTGCATTCCCCAGCTCCCGTTGTTCTGTTTGTCTGTTTGTGTGTGTGTTCCTCTGCTTTTTGCAACCTCCTATATTTACTTTGATTTCAGCCACTCCTTGCTTTCCCGGGATGGTTCTCACTGGCTTTCCAGTGGTACTCTAAAATAATGCCTGAACCAAGTTTTAAAATCTAATCAGGTTAATTTTTTTTGAGTCTCAAGAATCTGAAGTGATTCTCCCTTTCTTTCTGGCTCCCCCTCCACCACCTCTTCCCCAAATCCACCTTCATATCAGTGTTCCAGCCACAAGAGGGTGACCACCAGTGCCCACGCCCTTACAAATCTCCATGTGCCTTGAACTGTGCTGGTTTTCTGTCTGGACTGCTCTTCTCACTTCTTTTCCAAAAACTCAACATTTATTCATCCCCAAGGATCTCAGGTCAGGTAACATCTCTCCTAGGGACACCTTCCCTGACTGCCTCCCCCTCCTCCTTCCAAATAATTTTCCCATTCTGTGTTCTTGGAAGTGCTTGGTGCTTGATTCCTCTGCTTGGCCACCATGCACCATAATTACAGTTAGCTTATGTTCTTACTGAGCTGTGAGGAAACGGGGACAATGACTATGCCTTTTATTTCTGTGACTGCAGTAGTGGCTGATATGAACAAGGGAGAGAAAGCATAGAGTATAAAGAGAAGAGGATCCAGGGCAAACCTGGGGATTCTGGGAATGAACAGACTGAGGTATAAAGCACAGAAAGGAAATTGGGAGAAGATAGTTCACAGAAGTGAAAGGATATTAGTGATGGCAAGAACAATGGTCATAACGTACAATGCTGCTGATAGGGCAAGTATGACAAGGTTTAAACATGTCCTAGCAGATCTCAGGTCACCTCCGAAGAACTCCTCAAGTAGAGACAAAAAGCAGATTGCAGGGGCTGGAAGGGAAATGGGAGGTGACGACTTTGAAGAAGTTAGGAAAATTATATTCTAAGAAACACTGTTGTTTGCTAAATCTGGATGAATCTTAATGCCATTATGCTGAGTGAAATAAGCCAGTCACAAATGGACAAGTACTGTATGATTCTACTTACACCAGAGTCCTGGAGTAATTCATAGAAGGATGGTTGCCAGGGGTTGGGGGAAGGGCTCAGTATTGCAAGGGCACAGAGCTGCACCTTCACAAGATGAAAACTATTCTGATGGATGCTGGTGATGGTCGCACAACAATGTGAATACGCTCAATGCCACTAAATAGGAGGGTATTTAAAATGGTTAAAATGGCAAATTTTATGTTATATGTATTTAACTAGTCTTTTTTTTAAGTACCATTGTTGTTAAGAGAATAAGATGGAAATTGCTACAATAGGTCATGAGACTGACAGGGTTCGGGTTTGTTTTCTTTGCAGGGAAACAAGATACACTTAAGCATGTGAATACATTGAGAAGCACAAGCTAGTCAGAAGGGAGACAAAGGGAATCCATTTTAGTGAGAAGATCCTGAAAAGAATTCGCCTGGGGCAAGAGAAAGGCATGCTCTGGCAAGCCTCCTCATCTCAGAGGAGGGAGAGATACAGGAAAAATTTGTCAGGAAGTGGGGGGTACAGATAGGCAAGAAATACATTTTTTAAAAGAGCTTCTATCTGGAGTTGGGGTGTAGCTAGGATCACCAGAACTAAAAACTAACCAAACAATCTGATAGCTTTTGGAAAGATGGCTGGGGTAAAAAAATCTGCAGAAGGTTTTTAGGGAATTGGCAGCAGAAGTGTAAAGGAATTGTTAGGCAACTTTGTGAGTCTAGTTGGGAAATCATGACCTTGCAATGCTAATGATGGTCTAAGTCTCATGGAAACATGATTTACTGCCCTAGCCGTTGACTGCACAATAATGTGGACAGTTAGTTTAAATCACAGGCTCCAATTCTACGAAGAACCCTCTCAATCATAGAACAGAGAATGCTAGGAAGCACATGGCTGAAGGGATGCACCATCAGGAAGGAAGGGATACAGGGGCTGAGACACTGAGGAAATGGAAGACTGGAATCAACAAATACAGTGAAGTAGATAAATTAGGGATAGAAAAATGAGGAGACTGAAGTAGGCAGTGAAGCAGAAGATTTCTTAAGTGAGACAGCTCTGGGTCCCTACCAGGCCCAGGCTTGGCCAGGGTACAAGAGGCTAGAAAGAGACCTCTAGGGCTGGGGGTATGATTCAGTGGTAAAGCACTTGCCTAGCAGGCAAGGGCCCTGGGTTTGATCCCCAGTAACTACACACAAATATCCAAAGAGGAAAGACTGGGGTCCTACCCACAGGGAATATTTCTATGAGTTCTTCCATGCAAAGGCACAGACAAAAGATGATCTCTTATTGAATCTTTTGCCTTGGATTCAATTTTCCCTTTATTGTTGGTTGGTTTGTTTTATCCTAGCATTCTATATTTTTCCTTTTATGAAATCCTTTATGATTGCAATTAGATGTCCAATTAGATATCCTCCATCCCTACTTCTGTTCTTATATGACATCCACGCTGAGTATTATCCCCGTTTTACACTATAGCTTGGGTTGATAGCCTGCAAAAAAGAAAAGCCTATTAAGGACCTTGAGAATAGACAGTGGCTCATTTCTCAGGGTTGACATTTTCTCAAGCCAATGTCACATGGTAAAAACATGAGTAAAACTTTTAGTCATCATCACCATCATCATTCAAGTCTTTCAAAGGTTAAGAGTGACTATTTTAGGTCACCTTGCTTAAATAATCCTGGAACAAACCAGTGACACAAAGGGGACCCTTGGGTTATACACAGAAAAGAACCTGAAAGGAAGGGAAACTTGTCACTTTTTATTAGGCCAGGTACCCACGATGGGTGTATCTTTCACTCGTGTTGGATGGGGGAATCTTTCCTGCACACCACCTTCTCACTCCCAGACTGAGGCATCTGTCCTCTCAGCCTTCTGTGGTTTGAGCAGTTGCCACGCAGTCTCAAAGAATGTCCCATGAACACATGCCCACACTGGTTTTCTTTAGTGCAATCTGATGAAGAACTAAATTACCAACATTTTCAAAAGAGATTGGTTCCTCTTTTGTTTGGATTATGGAGAAAACTTTTGACATTATCTCTTACTACACCATGCTGAAATTAATCAAGCATATCATATGCATCTTTCACGAGCACAGGCTGTACTCTGCCATTTTCAAAACATATTTCCCGAACACTGTATTACAGAATAGGTGACAGCATAATGTGATGCCAGCTCGCGATGATTTTGCTTTGAATCCTACCTGTGTGTCCTCTGAACGTTGTGACCAGGGTGCAGTTTTCTTGCTCCAGTTTGAGGATTGTTACTTGGCCTGAGTGGTCACCAATAAACACGTGCCGGGTTTCAACATCAAATCTATCATGTAAGCATTAAGGTTTGTTTCTCAAAATTGAAGCAGGGGTGGGGTGGGGTGGGGTGGGATTTACAGTTGGGGGGGGAAAAGCATAAATTTAACAAGAGATGTACAAATCCCCCACTGGAGAACTTGAAGACAGTGCTGAAAGACACAAAAGTCAACTTAACAAATGAAGGACATATTATGTTACTGGACAGTAAGACTCAATATGACAAAGATGTCACTTCTTAGCATATTAATAAATTAACATACATTTAATATAATCTCAGTAAATATATCAACATGTTGTTGAGCTATGTTCATTCCATGGGTCCTGTGGAAACATACATAAGCAAGTGAAGCAAGGAATACTCTTGAGATGAAAATAATATGGGTGTGACGAGGTGAAGTCACCCTTACTAGATATTAAAACATGTTATAAAGTTTCTCTCTTAAGGGTAATTAAAATATACTTTAAGAATAACACTTTCTCACCCAATTTTAAATAAAAAGGATTTTCTTTTTTTATTGTTACTGGGAGTTGAATCCAGGGACCCACGGGTTCTCTGCCACTGAGCTACATCCCTTGCCCTTTTTATTTTGACACAAAGTCTTGCTAAATTGCCTAGGCTGGCCTTAAACTTGTGACCCTCCTGCCTCGGCTCTTGGGTTGCTGAGATTTCATGCATGTGTCACAGGGCCTGGCAAGATCTTCATTTTTAATCTGAGGTTGCTGTGGCATTAGGACTTAATTGCTTGCTATTCAACAAGTTTTGATGCCACCACACTGCTAATTCCTTAGTGCTCTTCCAGCACACACTAGACATGTCCTCCTCTACTCAAAGTCCTGGTGGCCACTTAAGAGGCTTGACTTTGATCACCTACTTAACCACTTTCAGTTTTGCATTCACTGATGTGATATTCCTATGAATGTGAGGAGTATGTGCTTTTTCTAATCCAAACATCTTTATTATATTTTTCCCTAAAGTGGACACCTTTTTGTACTTTTGATTCTGTTAACAATATGCAGTTTGTGAGGGTGCTGTGTATCCTTAATTTTTTTGATCTGTAGGTGAAGGCTGAAACACTTGATCTGAAATTATTAATTTGGTAAATCTGTCATGAATCCAATCTGTACAAATGAAATTCCCCTGCTTTTGTTGCAGTCTGTAATTTCTCTGGGGCCTCTGAAAAGTGGAAAAATCCCATCACAAGTGTAGTAGTTGTTCTTTTTAGAGGCACTGCTTGCTAAACTAAAGTTCCTTTAGTTAAAAAGTTGGTATTGGGACATGAAGAGACAAGAGAACAGAGAGAAAGTCCAGAAACAGACATATAGAAACCTAGTACATGTCTGGTAAAGGCAGCTCTTCAAATGAGTAAGGAAAAGATGGATTGAAATAAAATGATGTTGGCACAAACTACATATGTATTTGGGGGAAAAATGGGACTGTATTTCACATCACATACCAAGGTAAATTCCAAATCAATTAGGAACTTCCAGGTAGAAAATGAAAATATTAAGTTCCAGAGAGTGGGTTTCTTTGGGGTAGGAAAAGCTATACCTTAGAAACACAAACAAATAATATAAACAAAGACAAAAGATAAATTAGAAAAAACATTTGTAACTTCTGCCACAAAGGGCCCAAATCCCTAATATAAAAGAGCAATCAAGGAGAAAAAAAGACCAGAAATCTGACAGAAAAATAGGCAAAATCTGAATGGGACTCTGAATGGATAGTTCAAGAAGAAATAAAAATGGTGCTGCGTGAAAAGAATTAACCCAGCAGGCAGACTCTATCCTTTGCAAGCCAGCTTACAAAGCTGGCATAGTGTCTGGGAACCTGGATTTGGGGCAAGTTCCCACCATTAACTGATAAGAATGGTTCAATGTGTCTTAACTATTCCAACAATATAGCTTATGCTGAATACCTGCTTTCCTTTTGTGCATCAGGAATTTTGGTATGTGCCAGGTGGGAGCTGTCTACATGACCAGCCCTCACTAAAAATTCTAGACACTGAGATTCTTACAAGCTTTTATGGTCAACAGTGCTTAGCAACTCATATACTCTGAGGATAAAAGAACATCTAAACCTCAAAATATCATTCAGTAGTCTTATTGTCATTATAATGCCATCGGATGAAGCAAATAAGGAGTTATGTTGATGTTTTAAGAATAAAGATTTTCAGCCCAAGATCAAAGAAACAAGTTCAAAAATGAAGAAGTAAAAACCCTATCATGTGGGGCTAGGGTTGTGACTCAGTGGTAAAGCGCTCGCCTAGCATATTCGAGGCCCTGGGTTTGTACCTCACCACCACATTAAAAATAAATAAATAAATTAATTAATTAATTAATTAAAGGTATTGTGTCTATCTACAACTAAAAAATAAATATATAAAAATATATTAAAAATCCTACCATGTTAAATTTGAAATTTTGAATTAGAAATATAATAAGTTATTTTATTTTAAAAAGTAACACATATATATTATTTCATAGATATCTCTGAATATTATTCCTCACTAAATAACAGATAATTACATGACTGATACAGAAAAAAGACAAGATGAGCTTAAGACATGATGAGCCAGAAAGTTCTCAGACATATGTAAAATAGTTAATAAGGTTGATAAGGAAAATGACTGCTTTACATTTATTTTAATTATAAGAATGAAGATGAAAACAAACTCAATTGACACTAAACAGTCTTTACAATGACGAGTGAATAGCATTATTCTGTGAACGTCATGAATCCAACAAAATCTATTTATAAAAGGGTTAGAATAAAATGGTAGTACAACCTCAAAGCTTAGAGTGACTGCCATCAACTATGATGTGAAGAAATTGAGATAATCTTAATAGCTTTTCAGAACTGTGTATCTGCCTATGAATAAATCTAAGAGATTACATTTGGTGGGAAGACATTTCACTTTACAGAGTAACCTTTTTTTTTTAGTTGGTGATAGGCCTTTATTTATTTTCACAAGGTGCTGAGAATCGAACCCAGTGCTTCACACATGCCAGGCAAGTGTGCTACCACTGAGCCACAGCCCTAGCCCATATAGAGTGACATTTTGGAAATATCTCCAACATGAAGAAAATCCGAAAATGAAGAGTTCTTGAATTATTTTTTTGTGAAAACACTAAAAAATATGATCAAAACACCGTCAAAAACAAGATACCAACAGGTCTTCCTTCAGGTCTAGAATATGCTTTAAAATGTTCTAGAAAACAGAGAAATATCCCATTGTGTATATATATGCCACATTTTTTTTTATCCATTCATCTACTGAAGGGCATCTAGGTTGGTTCCACAGTTTAGCTATTATGCATTGTGCTGCTGTTAACATTGATGTGGCTATGTCCCTGTAGTATGCTGTTTTTAAGTCCTTTGGGTATAAACTGAGGAGAGGCATAGCTGGGTCAAATGGTGGTTCCATTCTCAATTTTCCAAGAAATCTCCATACTGCTTTCCATATTGACTCCACCAATTTGCAGACCCACCAGCAGTGTATGAGTGTGCCTTTCCCCTCACATCCTCGCCAACACTTACTGCTGTTTGTCTTCATAATAGCTGCTATTCTGACTGAAGTGAGATGAAATCTTAAAGTGGTTTTGATTTGCATTTCTCTAATTGCTAGTGATAGTGAACATTTTTCATACATTTGTTGATTAAATATTATCTTCTGAGAAGTAATGTGGCATATATACACAATGGAATATTACTCAGCAATAAAAGAGAATAAAATCATGGCATTTGTAGGTAAATGGATGGAATTAGAGAAGATAATGCTAAGCGAAGTTAGCCAATCCCAAAAAACCAAATGCTGAATGTTTTCTTTGATATAGGGAGGCTGATTCATAGTGGGATAGGGAAAGGGAGCACGGGAGGATAGGACAGAGGGGTTGGAGAGGGAAGGGAGGGGGCAAGGGGTTATAAATGGTGGTGGAATGTGATGATCATTAGTATCCAAAGTACATGTTTGAAGACACGAATTGGTGTGAATATACTTTGTATACAACCAGAGATATGAAAAATTGTGCTTCACACGTGTAATAAGAATTATAATGCATTCCGCTGTCACATGTAAATAAAAAACAGAGGCAGAAAGCAAAGAGGCAGAGAAGAATCAACAGTGGATGAGAGTGTCCATTATAATACTTTCTGAATATTACAGAAAGTATTTACAAATTTAAAGATTAGTAAGTGAAGTAGGGAAGGAATACATTTGTTTCTATTTCCTGCCACTTCCTTGCTATTGGATCTTTGGGAAATATCCCCATTCTGCTATATCCAGTGTACAAAAGACTAGCCCAAATATTATAATTCCCAAGTTCTAATCTTGGTTCTGCCAGTTAACAGTCGTTGTATTGGGCAAGCCACTTGTAACCTTCCTGAGTCTCAGTCTCACCCAGCCTTAGTTGCTACACTATAAAAACAGACGATAAGGTTATTTCATCTTTGCTGCACACTATTGTTTGATAGTAAATGAAGTAATGTATGTAAAATCACCTCATATATTCTCAGGGACTGCAATATATATATTTTCTTCCTTTTTCTCTTCTTTTTTCTTTTCTTCCTTATTATGATTGTTAATTGTGTTATTACTATTATAGACACTTAATATTTGAAGCTTCACATATGTAGCCAAAGAACCAAAGTATCTAAGGTTATTCAGAAATTCATAATTCAATTTGAGAAATGGTTGGTCTGTTTGTCTTCCTCTACTCTCTACTTGAACTTTGATTGTTATTTTTTTTTAATTTTTTTTAGTTGTAGATGAACACAATATCTTTATTTTGTTCATTTTTTTCTATGTGGTGCTGTGATCAAACCCAGTGCTTTATGCATGCTTGGCAAGCACTCTACCACTGAGCCACAACCTTGGCCTGAACTTTGACTATTTTTAAATGCATATTTGCTTCTCCAAACAACAAAATTTTTAAAACTCTGTAAAATAGTAGGATGGCAGGAAAAAGAGAAGGAGGAGGGGTGAACCCTAGAACTATAGTAGCTTGCTCATTAACTACCCATCCACCTGCCAGCTGCAAGAAAAAAGCTCCAGCTTTAGAAAAGTCCCACAGTCCTTGGCTCAGACCTCTGGCAAAAACACAAAACTATCATGCCATCAGTGTTTAGCCTTAGAAAAATAGCCAGGAGCAAGGATTGGCAGTATGGCTCCAAAACTGCATCTGGCAAGGGAAAGCTTGCAGGGGTCAGGGAACCTTCTGTAAGAGCCTATCTGCAGTACTGCAGCGCCCCTCTGCCTTCACAGTGAGGGTGGCTAGATGGTCACAGCCCAAGAACTGAAGCCCAGAGGCTTACCCCACCACCAGTAGCACCAGCACCACTATCACCACCTGACTATAATACACACACACACACACACACATACACACACACACACACACACACACACACGTACACACGTACACACACATAGGCACAGGCTTCTGATATCTGATAACATGATGTTCTGCATGGTAATTCACACGGTATGGCCGAAAGAAAAAGTTACAAAATGATGACTTTTGAATCTGGTGGTGATAATCTTATACCATAGACTAACACCATCAGGGCAAGTTTAATTCTTGAATATTTGGTTTTTGTTTTTCATTTTCAGATGGTTTAAAAAGTCACCATCTTGAAGATAAGACCTGCAGTGTTTCCCACACTCCGTTGCTTGGGTAAGTGAAACAAAAGACATAGGGAAGAAGCATCATTAGGTTTGGCTAATAACTTAGAAGCCAGCCTAAGGGCCCACTAGTTCTGCTCTCTTTAGGCCAGTGAAGTACAATGGGATAAAAGCAGGAGTCCAAGGCAGAAGACCTGGGATCTGGTAGTCAATCTCCAAGCTACTAGGTGGATGGTCTCAAATAAGGCAAGGGACACTTTCTGGGTGTCAACTGGCTCATCTGAAAAATGAGGGAGTTAAAGACCTGTTTTTTTTAAAAAAAATATTTAATTGACAAAAATTGTATACATTCAAGGCATACTGTCATGATTTGATAAATGTATATACAGTACAATGATTACCATAATCCAATTAATTAATACATGCATCACCATCCGTAGTTTTGTGTGTGAATGCGTATGTTCACGGGTGTGCATGGATTAAGTATGCCACCCTCAAGTTCACATGTGGAAACCCAATTCCCAATATGATGGTATTAGAAGGTAGAGCTTATGTGTTGAGTCATGAGGGTGGAGCTTCATGAACAGGATTAGTGTCCTTATAAAAGAGACTCCAGGTGGGGCTGGGGGTGTAGCTCCGCAGTGGAGCACTTGCCTGGCATGCATGAGGCACTGGGTTTCATCCTCAGCATCACATATAAATAAATAAAGGAATCATGTTCATCTACAACTAAAGAGAGAGACAGAGAGAGAGAGAGAGAGAGAGACTGACTCTCTCCAGGGAGCTCCCTTGTCCCTTCCACTGTGTGAACTCAATGAGAAGATGTTCATCTATGAAGCAGGAAGCTGATCCTCACTAGGCATGGAAACTGTTGGCAACTTGATCTTAGCCTCCAGAACTATGAAAAATAAACCTGTATTGTTTAGAGGCCACTTAATGAATTATGGTAATTCATTAAAGCAACCTGGACTAAGACAGAGAGGGTGGGCCCCAGCATTAGAACTATATTAGCACTAATCTACAGACATGCGAATTCATGTATTTCAACTGAAGCATCATACTTATCTGAACTGGCTTTAGGAAAGTCAAGTCTGGAGTTTCTTGTATTCACAGGTAGTATTAACTTCTCAAAGATAAGCTTATCTTGCTTCCCATTCCCTTGCCTTTGATCTTTTTAACTTGTCATTTTTATAACCTTCTACAATGTTCTTTCTTAGCTTCTTTACTTGCCCTTCCAGTGAGAAAAATTAGATGACACTGGCTTATATACATACACTTAAATATACTTAGAGCCATATATCTGCAAAGAAATTGCAATGTACTTTGTCATGTTGTTGAGCATCAACGACTAGGTGTTTCATAAATATGGAGATAAAAATGAAAAAACAGGCCGTCCTACTTTTGTTGACAGGTGATCTGATTCCACTTACTTCCTCATTTGTCAGAAGACAGAGAGATTCTACATTTTTAAACTAAGAATCCCAGAGTCCTCTACTCCTGGCCATGGGAGCATAATTCACTCATGCTTTGCGCTAGTTGACACTTTGCTTGCTGGAGCCCAGAAGTGGGAATTATCCATCATTAGCGGGGTTCATACTGAGAATAGGGACTCTAGCAGCTTGGGAGATAAGAATATTATTCCACATATCATGGAGAAGTTTCATGCCCAGAACAAATCTTGTAGCATTAACAGGTAGATACTAGCTAAACCACTCTAGTCCCAGCATGGTAGTTTCTCAATAAATATTTTAAAAATTAATAGAAATCCTGTGGCTCTTTTCCCAAGCACTAAGGAACTGCTTACAACATTCACATTTATATATAAATTACTCATAGACAAAAATCAAAGTCTGTATTTTGGTGATTCTTTATTCTCCATGGACCATAATTTTTCTGATAGCTGAGGCTTATAGATGTGGGTGACCCAATGAAGTTACCTCAGTCCACTCCACCTGGGGACCCCCTGATGACTAGTGTCTTAGGAAAGTCTCTGAGCATCTTATTCACATGGGGGCAACTCAACAAATAATGCACCAAAACTTTTCAAACTGTGCATATTTCAAATTTTCAAGAATCAAAGAGGTCAACAGCTAAGTTCCCACCGAGGGATTCTGTCCAGCAAAGGATACTGCAGGCCTGAGGCCACAGCACTGGTGCGATAACCTCCAAGGCGCTCCCCACTCTCAGAGCAGTGCCAGGCAAACTGCTTGTCTTGTCCCGTGCTCAGCACCCACTCCAGCTCCAGGACAAACAGGACCATCGTCACTCTGCTCTGATGCGCTGAAAACCAAGAGACAAGAAGACAACCTATAAAGCAACCCAAAGAGTTTGGAACAGCATGATCCACAGAGTTGTATTGTTCTCCTCTCCCCATTCTGAAAAAAGCTGACGGTATAAGCTGTTTGTAGGGACAGGGTATAACAGTGGCTCCGGGCAGAGGTAGGAATATGCCTCTAAAGACAGGCATGCCTGAATTTTTATGACTTTTAAAAAATGATCCTTCTCTTCCCAATGCTCCCCTTCTCTCCCTCTTGTGCCAATCCAAGAATTACTGACTCAGAAAGTTCTTTACCCAAGGGTCTAGACCATCACTTTCAACACAGTAGGGCTGCTGGACTAGAGAGTGTCAGATCCAATATGACCACAAAACACATCAGGGATGACTTCTGAATGCAGTCACTGTAGTCAGTTTACATGCACTTCCAAAAACAGTAAAGACTCAACAAAATTCTAGATAAACAGCTTTCTCTTGGAAATCAAATGCTTAGAAAGGAGGGCAGAATTATAAGAAGAGAATAAAATATTCTTTACACCAAAGTATACATTTCCCTATTTCACACATGGGCAAAGTGAGGAACAATAAAGTGGAATCATTAGGCTGAGGTCTCGTGGCTTCTCAGTTACCAAAACAGAAGGGAGGATTTTTGCTTTCTTATACAATTCCAGGGAGTGAGGTGGAGGGGACTGCAGTCACTGCAGAGCTGACTGGAATGAACACCACCTGTCTGGCAGTCTAGTGAGGCAGGAGCATGCTAGTGAGTGAAGACATAAGTTTCCCATTTTGATTACCACACAGTTAGTCCGGAGAGAGAAAGGCAACTCTGCTGGCAATAACACCATCTGCCAATTTCTGAGCACCTAACAGGTGCCAGGTATTTAAATGAATTCTGTCTCTTAATCATTACAATTACCCTGCAAAGTGGGTGCTCTGATTTTACAACAAATCCGAAGTTCACAAGATGGCCCTTTTAGATCGGCTACCATACAATATAGTCAGAACCACAGGGAACACCCATGGATACTCATTTCAACAAATGCCTGATACTGTGAAACCTGACATTTGAAACATCTTAGAGGATATGGAAGCACTAATACTGTGACCTCTCTACAATACATCCCTCCTTTTCAGAGTCCCAACCACTATTAAGATCAAAATACTGCCTTTGGGCTGGGGTTGTGGCTCAAAAGTAGACTGCTCACCTAGAATGTGTGAGGCATGCTAAGTTGGATCCTTAGCACCACATAAAAATAAAATAAAGATATTGTGTCCACTTATAACTAAAAAATAAATATTAAAAAAGCTTTGGAATATCCCCAATTCTCCTTTCCCCCATCCTTAATCAAATACTAATAATCTATTTTCTGTCTCTATGGATCTTACTTTTCTTGACATTTCATATAAATGTATTCATACTATATGTGGCCTTTTGTGTCTGGCTTCTTAGCATTCATTCATCCATTCATGTTATAGAATATATGCTTTCAGTTCTCTCAGGTATATAACTAGGAATAGAAATGCTGTATCATAAGGCAGCTTTAACTCATTAAGGAACTGAAAAATTGTTTTTTAAAGTGGCTATACCATTTTATATTCCCATCAGCAATGTGTGAGGATTCCAATTTCTCCACATTCTTGTCAATTCTGGTTTACTGGGAATATGGCTCAATGGTAGAATGCTTGTCTTGCATGTACAAGGCCCTGAATCTAATACGCAGCGGGCGCAAACACACACATACACACACACACACACACACACACACACACACACACACACACAAGCAAATAAACAAATGTGAACCTCCAAACCCCCAAACATACAAAAAATCTACACTGATTTATTTCTCAATATTTACTAAAAACTCAACTGTTTTAGGTACTATACTACATCTGCACTACATAATTTACATATGCAGTCTTTGAAAATATTTTTATTGTGGTAAAATATACATAACATAAAATTACCATTTTAACCATTTTTAAGTATATAGTTCTGTAGCATTCACTACAGTCACACTGTTGTATAACAACCACCCACTTTTGGAGCTCCAGAACTTTCACATCTTCCCAAACACAAATTCTGAACTTGTTAAACACTAACTCCCAATTTCCCCTTTCCTGCAATTGTTGGCGGCCACCATTCTGTTTTCTGTCTCTAGTAATGGGACTGCAGTAAGTACCTCACAGAGGTGGAATCCTTCACCTACTTGGCCTTTTGAGACTAGCTATGTCATTGAGCATACTTTAAGGTCCATCCAGACTGTAGCATGTGCCTGCATTTCCTTCCTTTTTAAGGTTGAATAATTCCATTGTATGAATATACCACATTTTGTTATCGATTCATCTCTCAGTGGACTTTCAGGTTGCTTCCACGTTATGGCTATTTTGAATAATGCTGCTGTGAACAAGTGCATACAAATATCTGTTTGAGCCTCTGCTTTCACTTATTTGGGGAATATACCACTTAATAATTTTTGAGTATTAATCCGACACTACATTCCTGGGATAAACCTCACTTGATCATAATGATGAATTTGCTGAAATTTTGATAATATACTTTACATCTATTTTCATGGGGAATGATGGCCTATAGTTTTCTTGTGTTGTTTCTGTATAATTTTAGTGTTAGGAAATACTAATTTCATAGGATGGGTTGTGTTATGTTTTAGATCCCCACTACCTCAAAAAAAAAAACCAAACATTTTGGGGCTGGAGTTGTGGCTAAGTGGTAGAGCGCTCACCTAGTATGCGTGAGGCATTGAGTTTGATCCTCAGCACCACATAAAGTAAAATAAAGACATTGTGTTCACCTATAACTAAAAAAAAAATATTAAAAAAAGATTATGTTTTGAAAGCATGGACCCTGACCCAGCAAAGTTCAAAGGTGGGGCTTTTAGGCAATGATTACAGCTCTGACTCTTCGTTGGATTAATCCATTGACAGATCAGTTGACTCCTGGGAGATAGTAGGTAGTAGTACTTTGGAGGAGGTGGGTCACTGGGGGTTGCCCTGAGAGGGTTCATCTAGTCACAGCCCTGCTTCCTGGCTGCCATGGGCTGAGCAGCTTTCCTCGGCCACATCCTTCTGCCATGTTTGTGCCTCACTTCAGGCCCAGAGCAATGGAAGTCAGGCGACCACAAATGGAACCTATGAAACCACAAGCCCCAAATTAACCATTCCTCCTCAAACTTGTTACTGTCAGGTATTTTGGTGACAGTGACAAATAGCTGAATGATACAGGTTGGAAAGTCTTTAATTTCTTCAATTTTCAAATTAGTTTGTGTATACATGATATTATTTCTTCCTGGAATGTTTCAAAAATCCACCAGTGAAGCCATCTGGCGCAAAAGCTCTCTTTGTAGGGATATTTTGATTATAAAATTATTTAATTTTAATAGACATAGAGCTTTTAGGATTATTTATTTCTTCTTGAATGTCTTTTTGCAGTTTGTGCTTTCAAAGACTCGTTCATTTCATTTGTCATATATACCAGCGCGAAACCATTAATAACATTTCTTATTTTCCTTTAAACATACTCAGTCTCTGTAGTAATGTCACTTAGATTATTTCCAGTAGTAGATTAAATTCCAGATAATTTAATAAGTCTGGTTAGAGATTTATCACATTTATTAATCTTATAAAAATTAGCTTTCAGTTTCATTAACTTTTCTGTTTTCTATTTATGAACTTCTGTTATTATCTTTTCATTCTTGTGTTTAGATTGTTTCTCTCACTCTTCTTTTGTCCTTTTTTTCTTTTGTTCTTTTCCCTTTTTTAAGGTGAAAACCAAAGTCATTGATTTAGAACTTTCTTCTTTCCTAATACAGGTGCTTAATGCTGTAAATTTACCTGTAAGTTCTGCTTTAAGAGCATCACATAAATTCTGGTATGTTTGCTTTCATTTTTATCCAGTTCAAGATACTAATTCCTCTTTTGTTTTATTCATTGACCCATCAACAAAGTTATTTAGTGTCTACATATTTGGGAATTTTCCAGAGATCTTTCTGATATTGACTCCTTCTTTAATTTCATTCTGATCAAAGAATATACCTTATATATATGACTTAAATCCACCAAAATTTATTGAACCTTTTTTAATGACATCAAATTTATCTGTCTTGGTAAACGCTATGTGTACATTTAAAAATAATACATATTCTGCTTTAGTTGGATGGAATTTCTACAGTTGTCGATTAGACCAAGATGATTGGCTTTGTTGTTCAAGTCTTCTATACTTTGATTTTCTGCTTATCTGTCATACCAAATATTTATATACTCAACAAATTATTGAGAGGACTATTAAAAATTTCAGACTATAATTGTGGAAGTATTCAATTCTCCCTAAAGTTTCATCAGGTGTTGCTTCACATAAAGATATTATAGGATACATAAATACTTGAGACTGTTATGACATTGTGATGGATTGGCAGACTGGCCTTTATCATTATGAAACAATATCCTTTATCCCTGGTAATATTCTTTGCTCTGAAATATACTTTGATATTAACAGAGCTATTCTAGCTGCACTGGCTTTTCATCACTGTGGCAAACATCTGAGAAAAATCACTTGGAAGAAGAAAAGTTTATTTTGGTTCATGGTTTCAGGGGCTTAAATCCATCTCTACTAGCTCCAAGGCAGAAACATCATGGTGGAAAGGCATAGTGGAGGGAAGTTGCTCAGCATGGCAGTCAGGAAGGAGTGGAGGGAGGGGGAGGGGGGGAGAAAGAGAGAGAGAAAGGGAGAGAGAGAGTGCATGCGAGAGAGCAAGCACATGCTCAAAAGGGAGAAGTCAGGGACAAGATATAGTCCCTGGCTTAAGGGCATGCCCCCAGTGACCCACTTCTGCCAACCGTGCCCCACCTGCCTATATTTTCCACAACCTCCCAGTAATCCATTCAGCTATCAATGGATTAATCTACTGATGAGGTCAGATCCTTCATGATACAATTACTTCTCCAAATTTCCAGCTCTGGACATTGTTGCACTGGGGACCAAGCTTTCAATACATGAAACTTTGGGGGACATTTTAGAACAAACAATAACATTCCACTCCTGACCCCTAAAAGCTCATGCCATCTCACAATGCAAAATATAGTCCGTCTCCAAGAGTGCCATAATCTTAACGTTTAGCATTGCTCAAAAGACTCTTCTGAGACACAATGCTATAGGATCACAGGCAAGTCACCCAAACTTGTTGGGCCTCAGCACTTAATTCACAAACTGTGATATTTACCTCCAAGGTTGCTCTGCTTTGTTCCTTTGACCATGACAAGAAAGTCTTTTCTAGTGGCAGTGAAAATCACCAAGTAATATATTAAAGTCTGGGCAATAAAACACTAACTCCCTACCTTGATAGTTTTTCACAGGAGTCATCTTGTTATAATCTTCTGACAAAATAAACTCCTGCAAAAGAAAAGAAAAATATTAATCAAAAGGAAATTCTTTTAAGTGAATAACTATGTTTTGGCAAAATCAGATTGCAGAAAGTCCAAATCGTCTCAGAATTATACCTAACATTATTTTGCCAATTGCCTCAGCATTTTTGTTTCTAAAAGCAACCATAATTATGATCCAATGCAAGCATCATAATTTTTATCTCACAACTCTTAAGTTGACTATTTTTGTGCATACACGAGAAAAAAACTGAATCAAGTTCAGAGTCTTGATGTTGGTCAATTTTAAAGATTAAACTGGATTCAAAATCCTTTCCTCTCAATGGTGCCACAGTTGAAAAGTTGCAAGGCTCTGGTCAGTGAGCAAATAGATGGCAATTTTCTACTAGATAAATAAAGTAGATATTTCTAATGTTAGCAATTTATTTCCCCTTACTATAAACTTCTCGAAACTGCATCTTACTCATTCCTTGTATCTCTGGGGTGCATGACATAGTACCTTGGCATAGTAAGTAACACATCAATATTAGTCAGCCTCCCAATCCAATGAGATTAGTTGGGATAGCAAATATACTGGAGGGATAAACAGTTCTATATAGCACATTGTATACACCCTTTGTAGGGACACATAAAGGTGACTGTGTGGGGGTTTCACCCAAGCATCTATGTAGACAGTGATGCACATGTGGAAGTCAACCAAATATTCAGGAGGCCCAGCCCTGTTTTGACTCCTTTAGCTTCTTCCACATGCAAAATATTCACTTATTCTTAAAAAGAAAAAGAAAGTTGTCAAACACAAGGAAAGTTGCAAAGTGTAATAAAGCAATGCCTTCATCCGAGCTTAAAAACAGAGCAATAAATCTTTTCACAACATTTGGAAGCATCCAGAATTTTTCTCTGATGATTTTTTAAAAAGAAAGGTGGGAGGACAGATACATAAACTCCTTTATTGCTATCTGGTATTTACTGAGTTCACACAGATTATGTAACTTTTTAGAAAAAAATATTTTATTGTTACTGTGATAAATGTCACAAAGATAAAGCAGGAGGTGATGTGAGAGAATATACCAGGCAACCACGCTTCTTTCATTCTCCACTTTCCCATCCCAGCCCCCTTACAAAGCCTGTCTACAAATGGATTTCCTTCACAATGATTTTCTCAGTAATAACATTATTCAACCTGTCACTTTTTAAATTCATATCATTATTCCTTCAAGGAGTAGCACTATATCCATTTCTCATTTCTGAAGAGTTTAGACTCACAACTGGGTAGAGCAGACTAAGTTTTAAAGAAATAAAGTAGTATGCCCATAAGGAGCTGATTGACACTGTGGGTAGAGAAGGTTGCACAGGCCCAAGAAGCAGCTCATTACCAAACCTTTCATTCCACGGAACGGGTCACAGCACTGAGCACCACATGTCAGAGGGCCCACATATCTACATATACACACACAAACACACTTCCACATGTGCATCACTGTCTACACAGATGTTTGGGTGAAACCCCACATACTACAAAGGATAGATATAGTGTGCTATATAGAACTGTCCCCTCCCCCAGTATATTTGCTATCCAAAGATACTACTATTTGGACAAATGTTTACTGAGTTCATATAGTTCATGTTATTTTAAATATACTGAAATGGTTCTCTGGCTGGGCAAAGATACCTCAATTCCTCTTGGAACAAGGCAAAATACAAAATAAAAGAACTCAATGCAGGTTTGCACATTAGAATTTTAAAATATACATACAAAATTAAATATTACCAGTTCATGACACTGGTGAACCCAATTTTTTGTTCATTTGCTTTTCCTATGATAATACAAATACATAATCATGAATAAAATTTGGGAGATTTTGTCACTTTCCATTATTATTTTTGGTCACAGAAACCATACGCTCTTCTAAAAAATCTATAAGGATAATCATTTAAAGGTCCCTTATGGTACCATTTGTTTAGATAAGATAGTATGAAAAGTATTATTGTAATAATACCTATAATAAAACAAAAATGTTAAACTACTTGGACATACTTTTTACCTTTAACAAATCATATGTATTACTAATAGACTACATATTCATAAACTTCATTCTTTTTAATGAATGCACAGAAAATACTGTAATGTTCTTTCCCTGAGGAATATATTTATATTGTTTCCTATTTTTCTCATTTAAATGTATTTTGTTTTTTATGTAAATTGAGTAGTAGTCCTATAAAAGTTCTATAAGTAACATGATTTGGGATCAGAGTATGACCATTAAAATTTTGATAGACATTGCTAAATTTGAGTTTTAAAAAGATTGTATCTAATAACATTCAAACAATATAATATAAAAGCCTGACTATAAACTAGTTACTTCCTTAGGATTAACCAATCAAAGAAAAATTAGATCAAAGATTCACACACTTTAAATTATTTTGGATAAAAATAATTTCTATTCTTCTTTCTTTTATTCTATTTTTCCTCCTTACTATCCAACTGTTTACCAATCTATCACTCAGTTAATTTTAATGTTCATTTTAATATATCAGACAATATCGGATATACAAAGGAAAAGTAAATAACTGTCTCTACCTTCAACCTCACTTCTTTTGAGGGAACCAGTGTTAACAGTCTGGTGTTATCTTTCCACACCATTTTTTAAACACTTACTAGACATATTATGAACATACACATGTAGATAGGGTTTTGTTTTGTTGTATAAAACTAGGTTCACATTATAGATGGTACCTTTAACTTGCTGTTTTAACTTAAAATATGTCATAGCTACCTTTCTAGAAATCACATGTTTCTAACTTATTCTTTCTGATGGTTCTATAATACTTCACAGAATGGATATGCCATTATTCAAGTCCTTGCTCCTTTAAATGGACATTCCACTCATCTACCATTTTTTATTGGAAAGGTTTCTGCACATATACCCACATGAATTAATGCAGATGTGGGAAAGATTGCTGGCTCAAGGTTATGTACATTTAGTGTTTTATTAAACATGCTGGATCATTCTCTAGGAAGTGCTGTAGTCATTTACCCCTACCCATTTTGTAAGACAGCATATTTTCCCACATCTCACTAGTACTGGATGTTACTCATATTTTCAATTTTTGCCAAACTGATGCACATATTCACACAAAAGGAACCTCATTGTGGTTTAATGGGTATTAATTACTCCATTTATAAACTGGAACTTTTTTTATAATGTTCATCTGCCACTTTATTTTCTTGTTCTTTGATATCTCTGTTCAAATCTTGTTTTATTTTGTTCCCTCAGGCAAAGCTTAAGTCTAATGCTTTGTTTGAAGATGCAATACCAGCAGTGTAAGTGAGGGAACAGCAAGGCAAAGCAGAAAAAGATGAACAGTGTATCACTCCCAAGTTGGCTGTTCTTAAGCTCACAGAAGGTTTCTAGATAGACAGAATTGAAACGGTAGGTCTAGAAAGAATTCACTAAGGGATGGAGGGATGGAGAAGAAATTTATCTGCCAGCCCTCTCCCTTTGAATTTTGATCATAGCTCAGGGGACATTAGCTTCCCCCTCCTTCTAGAAAGTTGTACTACCTAGTCCGTTTGCAGCCACTGGGGAAGTCGGATCTTCAGCCTAGGAGTGCTGTGCTCTGAAAGTGCACATTTCTGTGCACCTAGAAAGTGGCAGAGGAACCAGATATTCTAGGCTTTGGGCTCAGGGTGGAACAAAGAACCCAGAGGGTCTAGGAAACAAGTAGAGAAAATCGGAAGCAGGGGATATGGTGTAGCCTAGGCATTTCCTTTCCCCTTTTGTCTCCGGTCTTTGATTATTAGGGATAGTAATCTTTTGCATAATACATACATTGACAATATTCTCTCTCCTGATATTCTGAGTTTTGATATTATTTAATAAATATTCTGCAGTACTAAAAATTTTTAATTAATAATTGTAGCATTCTGAGTTGAAATTGTACTAGATGTTTGAATTTTTAATTTTGAAAAAAACTGTTTCAGTTTTAATGTGCTTACCATCAGGAATGTACTCAGATTGTTAAACACAATCTTTCTTTATTAGTTTCAAAGAAATTTTTTTCCCATTTCAACTTCATATATACTAAAAATAGCTTTTGGAATAACACATATTTTAGTATGTTATCATAATATTTAATATGGCATTGATTGTTGACGTTAGAAAAACAACCTTGGCCAAGTTTAGGTACTCATCTCTAGTTTTATCCGGAGTTTTCATTAATAGTAGCTGGTGAATTTAATTAAATGTGTTTTTGTATCTATTATACAAACCTTAAAACATCCTTCAATTTATAGAATTAATTATTCTAATAAATTGCCTAATACTGACTGACTCATTCCTGAATTCCTGAAGGTATCCCAACTTGCCATTGTGTAAACTTTTCTATTACTGTATTGCTGCAGTTCATGAGCTAATACTTTAAAAGAATTTTCACACACACTTGTCCACAATATTATTGGTCTGCAGTTTTCCATTTTGGTGCTTTTTTGGGTTTTGGTTTAAAGTTAAGAAAAGCAGAACAGGGGTCAAGAGTTTGGACAATTAGAGACAAACTGTCTGATTTAAACCCCAGCTAAAACACATGCTATTAATATGATTTTAGACAAGCTGTCTGAATCTCTGCTTCAATTTTCTTCCTCTATTGTGAAGACTGAGGTAATGTTTATAAAGCATATAAAGCAGCATCTGGCACACAGTAAGTACATATTCTATGAAGAGTAGAGCAAAATAAATATTATCTTTTGTACATTAAATTTAAGGAGCTGGCCCTATTTTAAAAATTCTCTGAAATAAAAGAGAATTGGAGAGAATTCAGCTCTTTAATCTTTCCCCCTTAAGTCAGCTTTTTTGCTGCTATGACCAAAAGGCCTGACAAGAACAATTTTTAGGACTCACGGTTTCAGAGGTCTCAGCCCATAGACAGCTGGCTCCATTGCTCTGGGCCCTAAGTGAGGCAGAACATTATGGCAGAAGGGTGTGGTGGAGGAAAGTAGCTCAGGACCTGGCACCA